TAGAGAGAAATGTTCATGCTGTATGTACAGGGCACTCATGTTTGAACAGTTGGGACACACTGTTGTATTCTTACTGTCAGTGTGGAGGTAAAAATAAATAGTTCAGCAGACCTTGTTGAAAGTGTCTGCACAAACTTCACCAATGCAGCAGTTTGTGTTGTAACATGCCTGCTGCTCAGTGTGGTGAGGACTGTTTCAGGTGTGGAGCTGTGTGAAGGAGCTTCTCATTCCATTACACTCCAAACAGCATGTCCTTAGAAACTCTGCTCCTTTTTTTGCCTTTCTACAAACTGGAACAGTCCAGTTGGTTGTGATTCACCTTTTTGGCTCAGGAGCTGGTTTTTACTTCACTTGCTTTCTGATGAAGAATCCCAAGGCGCAGGGTTTGGGATGAGCCAGCGTGCATGTGTGTACTCGCGTGACTCACCAGATGGGAATGCTTGGCTTTGTTTCTGCGGCCTTGCCCCTCAGTCCTGTTTGTGTGTGTGAGAGTGCTGTCTTATGTCTGTGTGTCAGACTGCTTGTGTTTCTGAGTAGCAGTATTATTAACAAGTTACTAAATGGTGTTTCCCCCCCCCCCCCACCCTTTGGATGTCTGTTTCTTTCCACTGCAGATACACACAGAGTGTTTGGGCAAAACAATGATTATGTTCAACTTTAAAAGCATCAAATTCTTCTCCAGTACACCGTGCTTCCATTTTTCAGCTATCTGAGTTTCATTACCTTCTGTCCGAGGCCACTGTGTGCAAAATAATGAAATACATGTCAAAGTGGAGGGACCAAATAAGGATACAGCAATATATCATCACCCTTACTTATTGAATCACTGGTGCCAAATATGGATATTTAAATGTTAGAAAATACGACTTTAAAATGTTGGTCATGAAAAAGTGATTTGAATTTCCTTTTTTCCTTTTAACTTAACTTTTTCAAATAAATGTCAGTGTTTGGGGCGCCTGTAGTGTAGTGGTTAGTGTGCATGCCTCATGTATGGATGCTAGTTCTCCAAACAGGCGGCCTGGGTTCAAATCCGCTCCTTTCCCGCATGCCTCTCTCTCTCTCGCTCTCTCTCTCTCTCTCTCTCTCTCTCTCTCTCTCTCTCGCTCTCTCGCTCTCTCGCTCTCTCTCTCTCTCTCTCTCTCTCTCTCTCTCTCTCTCTCGCTCTCTCGCTCTCTCTCTCTCTCTCTCTCTCTCTCTCTCTCTCTCTCTCTCTGTGTGGTACACTGGTAACCTAGTGGTTAGAGTGTGCACACCATACACAGAGGCTATAGTCCTTCATGTGGGTTGCCTGGGTTTGAATCCGACCTGTAGCTCCTTTCCCACATGTCATACCCCTCTTTCTCTCTCTCTCTCTGTCTCCCTGATTTCTGACTATCCGCTGTCCTATCTCTAAATACAGTTAAGGCAAAAAAAAAAGCCCCAAAATAATTGGAAATGCATACCCAAAGTGTCCCTCATGAACTTATTTAATGTCTAAAAGTTGTATTAATTTAACACAGATTTGTTGTTTAAGGTTTTTAACTATAATAATATAATATAATATTTCAAATCTTCAAAGTGCTGAAATTAGAAATGCAGCCTGCGTCCCTTTTCAGTCTCAAGTTTCTGAATGTCCTCCTCCCTCTTCAGAGAAAATGAGGTAACTGATTTGGTGAATGAGTCGTGTTGGACTGGAGAAGATTTGTTGTGACATATTTGAGTTTAAAACACATGGTAACATAAGGAGCATGACTGCTTTTGTTTTTCAGTTTTGACTCCAGCCTCTGTGACTCACTGCTTGTGGTCACACTCAAACACTGGGCGATAAACTAGCTGGCTTGATACCAGGAGCATTGTTTGTTGGTCAGTTACAGCCAACAAAGTGCCCAAGCAACCTGTCTGTATCTATGCTGCTTTTTTGTATCTCTGTAGTCCCTCTGTGCATCAAATTCGGGGGGGGGGGGCAAAAACTGCCATAACCTTTCATCAGTCTCATTTTTCATGTCTGGCAGCAGGGTGCACTGTGCACTGCAGGCTCAGATGTGATTAAACATGCACAATGTTCTAACTAACTGTTTCCTCTGTTCTTCCAGGAGTAACACTTGAGGGCTGTTTTCTCTTCAACCTCCCAGAATCCAACATCCAGAACCCCACATATAAACTCCGGGACTCTCTCAGAAGATTAGACGGACTCCTACTCTCCAAAATGCTGCAGCTCACTGCTAGCCGCATCCATCACCTGCATAATAAATCAATGCATTTTGCATGAGAAGGACGCGATGTTGCATTACGAAACAAAAACGGCAAAATTATACTGAAAAACCGTACGATTTTAATAATGGTTCTCGACCCATCTGCACGCCGAATCCCTGAGTGTGCAGCAAGCAAACCCTGTGCTTTCACTGCCTTATGACTTTGATGCATTTTTATGATTATGGAGAATAATTATTGTAGCAAATGTTTTATTTATGAAATAAAGCCATCACTCCAGAAACTTAAAACCGCTGTAGGCTGTATATGTTAGGGAGCGTTCTCTATTTAACCTTGCTGTAGAAGTGCCAACCTTATTTGCCAGCAAGCATCGCCTCACTCACTCCAACAAACCCGATGATTTATTTTGTCAGGTATGCCACTAGAGAAATCACTACGACCCAGAACTGTACATATCCAAGCTTTCCTAGGAGAATAGCAAATTATCTTTCACAGTTGATTTTTGTCGCCTCTACTTGAAATGCATTTCCCTTTTTATGATCATTTCAGTATTTTATTGTTTGTCATCAATCTATTCCACCACTTTAAGTTTCAAAGAAGGTCTGTTCAGGCAAAAAGAAAAGGCCAAGGATTCAGATTTTTAAGTGCCTGTGCAGGCTGTGAATGTGTTTCAGGGTGGATCAGCAGCCGCAGCAGCACAGGCCCTGCGTTCATGTGACTGTGAGGAAGAGGGCTCAGACTGCAGAGCTCTGCCCAAATTAGATGCAAAGCCAAGAGAGATCTGTCAATCCTCACGCCCTCCCACTAACCCACCCAGAACATCTCACCTGTACGGCCTCCCTCATCTGTCCGACTGTATCTGAATAACTCTGTTGGTGTTCCTGTTCAGCCATGGTTTCCTCCAAGCGGTGAAATCATTTAAGTGGCAAATGCATTTTGTTTTTAATTTGCTGTTTTCTTCCAAATAATAAAATGTTGACAACAGTGCTGAAACTTGTGTCGCCACTTCACCTGTTCATTTATTTGTGTTTATGAGCACTCAAATATTGGGTCAGTGTTTAATATATTTTCTAAAGATGATCCTGTAATAAGATGGACTCACCAGTTAGTTTAGAAGAAAAATAAACACGACAGTTCAATGTGTTAAAATAACAAGAACCTGAAGACAATAACTTCTGCGGTCAGGACGAGCAACAATGAGACTTTAACTAAGCTAAATCATGCATATATAATTACCTGCAGGCTTTTTTTTTTTTTTTAATTCTGAGAGAAATGTTTCTTATTTATTTTGTATTTCAGTTTCTTAATTTGTGTTCAAAATTGCTTGAAGTGGTAAAATGGAAAAGTCCACCAATTAATATGCAAACATCTTTTGGCTTAATCAAAAACCTGAGCAATCGGAGAGGAAACCGTGATTTTTGTTTTACTCTCGGGCCCTTTAAATCACCTGATGATCAACATGTGATTAATAAGATCTTCAAGAAGCTTCAATATTGGTTAGAACTATTAATAAAATACATAGCGAGGGGTTTGAATCTTTTAATAGTTTTCTATATTTAATTCATTAAACCAAATGATTAAACACTTAATTGATCCGTTAAAAGAAATACCCTCGGGATAATTAAGACGGCTTTTTTTTGCAGCTCCATGTAATTATGTTGACTGCACGCATGCCTCAAAGCCCCGCCCTGCAGGGTTCGTGCGTGTGGTGGCCAAAGATGGGCAAAAGATTAGAGCTTTCACTCTGGCCTGTTTCTTGGGTCACAAAAATAAATAGTAGTTGCCTTAAAACAAAGGTCATTGCAGCCCAACTTTTACTAAAAGTAACTTGGTTTGACAGAGTCCCCGTAGTTGTCATTAAATTATCAATAACTGTCTTGACAGCTAATTTCTATGATCTAAATAATTTAGATGATATTATTAAAGATTATAGCTAAAACAAAGAAAGTTTATGTGCTATTTAAAAAAACAAATACTGTATTCATTTTTATATTCACCTTTTTGTATAATGATCTTTGAATGTTACATAATAAATAAAGTAATGAACGACCTTTAGCCTATTTATATTTCCATCATGTTTCTTAATAGCTTTAAATCCAGCAGTAGCCCCACTCAATTGAGGCTGTGAAGTTAAAAAATATGGCGGATTTTTACATCTTAAGCAGGTCATCCATAAAATGCATACCAAATAAATTCATGAGCATAAAGAAAACAGTTATGGACTTGCAAGAACAGCATGTGGAAAATCAGTGCACAACACTGTAAATACAGCAATGGTTTGTACATTTTTTTAATAGATATGTCCTTTTAAAATATTTTTTAAAAGGATAGGATAGGATAATACTTATTCCCCAGAGGGGAAATTCGGGCATTGCAGCAGCACAGACAAGTAGCTCAAAATACACATTAAACAGAATAGATAAGATAAATAAAAATAAAAATAAAAATAAAAATAAAAATAGGGGGTATATACAAAATGAATGATGAAGTTAACTATGCATGGAATTGAGACAGTATTTGCAGAGAATTACAAGATAAAGTGACAAGTGATGATTAAAGTGACTTGCTATGATAAAAGGTATGTCCTTTTAAAATATTTTATTTGTTTATCAGCATATGTCATAGAGTAGTTTTAAAGAGAGCCAACCACTAAATCTTTCTTAGTGTTTCTTTATATATATATTTGAACTCAATATAGTGGGACGGACAGAAACGCGGAGTGAGTCATGCTCTTGAACATAGACGATCTTGGCGGAGTACTTGCTCCGGTGCTGTAGGGGGCAGCAGAGCAGCGGCACATTTCCTGTAAGGCCAAACAGTCACAACAAGAGGAGGAGGAAGAGGAAAAACGACAGCCCTGGATCGTCGTCGACTTGCCTTGCGTGACAACACCAGGGGATCGCGTCCAGGCTTCGGGTATTTAACATTTTTTTCTTTCTATTTTCTCCTTGTCTCTCCGAGCGGGCACAGGAAACGACGCTGAAGGGGGTTGTTTTTGGGTGTTAGTTTCGTCGGCCTCTTCCGTCGCCGTGTTCTCCGCTGTTTGTGAACTGCTCTGAAGACACCAGAAACATGCCAATGGAGGCTCGCTGACCAAAATGGCTGGGCGCAGTGAAATGTGAAATATTCTTGCTAAGGTTATCCTTCCTGCACGCGACGCGACTGTCACGCGAGCGAAGCGGCTGAAACGCATTGCTCCAGATAAGAAAAGTGCATATGTTTGTTTCTGCTTGTGTTTATGTTTTTATTGACATTACTTCGGCTTTTACTTGTATCGGGCCTGCCGTCTTTTTTTTTTTTTTTCTTACCCGGAGCATTTCTGCATGACTGATTCAACTACTTTTATTTGCTTTTTTTTTATAATTTTTTTTATTTTTCTGCACATCTACGTCATACTAGTTGCATGTTTTTCCTGTTCCAATGTTTGTTCCATGCAAAAAGCTGTGACTATTTCTATAGGCAGCATGCAAATAGAGCGCCACCCCTCTGCTGTGCAAGCTGTACACATGCACGGTTTGTAGTGGTAATGCAATGTTTCCTTACGCTGTTTTTTTTTTCTTTCTTTGCAGGTTGTTCCAAATTGACCTGCAACATGTCTGATTTACTAAGATACATCGACTACGACCACAAAGCCACCTTCCTGAAGATGCTGAACCAGCAGAGGATGGAGGGCGAGCACTGTGACGTGGTGGTGGTGGTGGAGAACATAGAGTTCAGGGCTCACCGCTGTGTCTTGGCAGCCTGCAGTAACTACTTCAAGAAGCTCTTCAAGAAACAGACGGAAGAGGACAACTCCATCGTGGAGCTGGACTTCATCCGGTCCGACATCTTCGAGGAGGTGCTGAATTACATGTACACAGCGCGGCTCGCCGTGAGAAAGAAGGACATAAATATGATGATGTCGTCGGGCCAGATACTGGGGATCAACTTCCTGGATAACCTGTGCACCCAGAAACGAGAGCTCACCAACATGAAGACCCGGGAGAACCAGGCTCCAGGAGACCATGGGATGAGAGCTCAGGACGCCATCTTGAAAGAACTGGCTATGGAGGAGGTGAGGAAGAACAGCTTTTATGATCAGGGGATGGAGAGCATGGGGCCCGGGGGCTCTCACGTGACTCAGCCGCACAACTACAACACCAACATGAGCAAAGATCCTCACAGCCACGGCTGGGGCTCCTCCTCCTCCAGCGACATGAAGCTGGAGTACCTGTTGTACGGCCATCGCGACCACGGCTCCTGTCAGAGTACGGGCGCCAAGCCCTTGGACCACAACGCCAAAAAGGAGCGGCTGCTAACCGCGAACCGCCCCTACGGCTGCGAGCACTGCCCCCAAAGCCTTCACCACAGCCGCCCACCTCAAGGAGCACCTGAAGATCCACTCGGGCTTCAAGCCTCACAGGTGTGTCGTGTGCGGCAAGGCCTTCATCAGGGGCCCCGACCTCAAGAGGCACGAGAGGGTCCACAGCAACGAGAGGCCCTTTGCGTGTCAACTGTGCGAAAAGGCCTTCAAGCACAAGTCCCACCTGAAAGACCACGAGCGGCAGCACCGGGGCGAGCGGCCGTTCAACTGCGGCTCCTGCGACAAAGCGTTCATCAAAGCGTCCGATCTGAAGCGCCACTGGAACACGATGCACAGCGGAAACCCCCGCAGACAGATGTCCCTGTCCCCTGCTGCCTCCCAGCACGGCCAGGCGGAGGCCACCGACCAGAGAGACTGGAAAATGGAGACCGGGCCACACTCGCATAATTCAGGAGACTGTTGAGCCTACAAACACACCAAATCACACGTATCCATACACACACACACACCCACACACACCCACACACACCCACACACACACACACACACACACACACAACACGTAGAAACATGTACACAGAGTGACACAGCCACAACCGTGTGACAGGCTGAGGGCCTGAGCTCACATGGACAATGATCGGAGTGAGTAACGAGATCATAGCATGTTCATAAGACTGTGGGGCTGTATTATTATTATTATTATTATTATTATTATTCAAAGGAGTTATGTCAGAGCGATGTTTTCTTTCACCTGTAAAATCATGTAAATGTTTAGTTCACTCTATGATACATATATTTTTCACAAAGCATCGTTGCTGTCTAGACTGGGGGCTCTCATTACATGATTCTCTTTTCTTTTATGGGATATGTAACATTTAAATGTTTGTTTAACCTCGACTGGATTTTTATGGAGAGAGAAAAAAAGAGAGAAGCAGAGCGCGGGGGGATTTTCTGCATAACATTTGTTGCATCGAGTATATTCATGTGGATGTTTTTAATGGATGTGTTTAGTTGTATTGATTGATATTACACTGTAAGAGTAAGAGTCACAGTTTTGCATTTGATGCAGATGATACCAAAGTCTTGGGCCTCTGACGGATCGTCTTTGAAGGCTGTCCTGCCCCAAGCAACCGGCCAACTAGATTTACTGTTATACAGTATAACTGTCATCCATGCTATCAACAGTCAATGATAGATGTCTGTATATACTGTAGCTTAGTTTGTTGCACAATTAGAGTACACAATAATGAATTATGCACATATAACATTGTCCTACTCCTACACTTTGACAATAAACACCATTTGCTGTGTTTTATTAGGTTGTTTTTTTGTTGATCAGAGAGCAGGGTTTGTATCCTGCAGACGCATTTTGTTTTTTGTGACAGAGGAGCTAAATGAGCCACACCCAAATCAACCTGACAGCACCTGAAAACTTAAACATATCAGTCTATTTGTACAACTTTGAAAATGTACGTTTGACATGCAGCACGGTTACACTTCTCTGCAGTTGCTGCATGAGTTGGTAAAGGTCATTATATTTGGTCTGTTAGGGCTGGTGTTGAAAGGGTTAAAAATGTCTCGTATTAAGCACAAAATCTGAGCGACATGTAGGTGAGTCCAAACACTGCCAAGGCCATACCAAGAGATTAAACTTTCTGGATTTTAAAGGTTAAGTATGAACATATAACTTCATCAAATATCATCAAATAGTGGAAATAATTTGTTCTCGTTAACCTAACCGTGAGGTGTAATGTCCTCGTGTCGTATTTTCTGTTTCACCAATGTTCAAAAACTAAATTCTCAAAAAAAATACTCAGACTTTTTCATCTTTTTTTGCATAATTGCTTAAAATGACAAACATTTCAGTCAATCACTCCTCAACAGTTTGACCACTTGTTGCTTTTATTATAGCAGTGAGAGTTATTATTACAGCTGTAACAAGAAGTGGATAGAGGGATTGAAGGGATTTATTTGAAGCTTGGTTGATAACAAAACTGGGATTTTTGTATATATTACCCAGTTTTAGGATCTTTGGGGTGATAAACTGTTGCTTTGTTTGTTTGTAAAGATCATAAGCTAAATATATGGAAGTTATTAATTGTTTGGTCTAAAACAAAAACTTCAATATGATGAACTCCAATCTTTTTGATCTTCAGTGGACTTTATTCTGCAATTTTTTAACATTGAATTTGGATCAAATGTCATTGTGATAAAAGTGATGGATGGTTGAAACTCGACAAAGAGCAGTGTAACTCTGCCTGAGAGGGAGACTTCCCAACGTCCACACGTACAGCAGAGCATCAGGACTTAGTTTGTTTATAAGCCTGGACTATGCAAACAGTCCCATCTGCTGCCCAGCCCCCACCTTAAACACTCCACTCTGACATCCACTGCACCTTCGGGTCTGTCCGACCAGCTCACTACTGAAACATCAAACTCACCCCAAAGTGACCTGAGTTTCTCCTAAATCTGTAAAACAACTGTACACTGGGACATGAATCCAGCTCACACACACACACACACACTCTTAACATGGCTGTGTGTCATGTGAAGAAGAAAAAAAACCCTGTGTGCAGCTCTTCTATACTCTGCCTGTAACACTAGATGGTGCCCTGTTCATAGTGTTTGACCTGTTGCTGCCCGGTCTGACCCGCTCATACTGTCTGCCCAGGACTGAAAGAACACAGAGACACTGATGTTCCTGTAGAATAATGGAGAGTAGAGGAGGCCAAGCTCGACTAAAAGCACATATGGTGAGTGTGTGAAATGTATGCGCTCTCACACCTCAGTGTTTTCCATATATTTACATACAGTACATCTGACTGTTGGCCAGCTCGGGATCATGCTTTCACAGTCTCTGCATGCACTGACAGGCTCATTTTGACAGCTTGGCCACACAGCACGCAGGGACACCATCCTCACGCTTTGTCCATGTATGAAAACATTGATCTATTAACTGTCAACAGAGGAAGATTTGATCGCATATATATCGAGGCAAAACAGTCTTCTGGAAAACTGACGTCAGTGTCTGAGGAGAAAGGCGGACTTTGTGTCACTGGGTCTGTTTTCTGCATTTCCCAGCCTCACTGTCTTTGTACATGTGTGTGTGTGTGTGTGTGTGTGTGTGTGTGTGTGTGCACCCATCTATTGGGGTCAGTTGAACTTGCAGTTTATGGTTTGTGTCTCTTTGTTGGACTGATCGTGCCTGATCATTGTTTCTGACTGTGTGTTTGTGCACGTGTTTATATGTGTGATGTGTGGATGTATTAAAGCTAGTGAATGATGCAGGATCTGCTTTTTGTCGCCTTGTACGCCTGATTGGAGTTAGATGTGTTTATTACATTTATTCTGTGACTGTGTGTGTTTGTGTGTACTTGACAGTGGTTGGAGAAGTAATGTTTGCATGTGTGTGTGTGTGAGTTTGAGTCTGTGCATTAAAGACAATGCAGGGTATGGTTGTGTGTCACTGTGTGTCTGACTGAGGTTGTGTGTGTGTGTTAATACATTTTGTCACTGTTTTGTGTATATTTGTACAGTGGTTGGAAATGTAAATTGTGCAGGAGTAAAATGCTGTGTTTGTATTAAAGCTAGTGTTTGATGCAGAGTATGGGTTTGTGCCACATTATAGTGACTGATTGCATATGTATTTCTGTGTGTGTATTTGAGTAGTGGTTGGAAATGTAAAGTGTGCATGACTTATATTGGTGTGTGTGCGTGCCGAGGGATTTGAATGATCAGGGCTTATTTTTGTGTTTGCATGTGTGTGCTGACGCATGTGCCTAAGAGCATTTATATGTGTGTGCAAGCATGTGTGCGTGTGTATGCATGTGTAATGACTGAGGGGGGGGGGGGGGGGTTGTGAGTGTGCATTCGTGCAAGTGTGTGTGTGTGTGTGTGTGTGTGCATGCATCAGAGAGGGTTTATGTGTTTGCGTGCACCATATGCAACCATAATGAGCTCTGTGTGTGCGTGCGTGAGTGACAGGCAGCGAGTGTGTGCATTCATGCGGGTGCCTCTCTGCGTGTCTCATCCGTGCCTGTGCGTGAGGGCTCTGCATCAGTATGGAGCTGTGTGTGTGTGTGTGTGTGTGTGTGTGTGTGTGTGTGTGTGTGTGTGTGCCAGAGAGATTGTGTGTGATTCCTTGTTTATTTTTGTGTATGCATTGGCTTTGCATGCATGTGTCTGCACACATCATCACTATTTAGAGAATTTACATGTCAGCAGCCTGAATCCTATAATGCAGGTAGTCACACGAATTAATTAGTGCGTTTGAATGCATGTGACTGGGTGTGTGTGTGTGTATGACTGTGTGTGTGTGTGGTAGGTTGTATATTACTATTGTGGGGGCTGTGCATTCAAATTCATGTCTGCATAACTTTATGTGGCTTTCTATGTGTGTTTATTCTCTCTTCAGCTTTGGTTTATATGTGTGTGTGGGCGCGGGTGCATGCTGACGTGAGTGTGTGTTTGCACGTATGTGTGTGTGTATATGTGTACAGTGAACACCCGGTTTCCATTACCCGGGCCGGCGTGGTTCCCTCAGCCAGACCACAAACCTCCTGTCTCCACTCTGGCTCCACCCAGCGCTGCCACAGGCTTCCCAGAAAAGAACAGCGTCTAATTAAAAAAAACTTTAATTACATTCATCTCATCTCTCTCTCACACACACACACTCTCACACACACCAAGGAAGAATAAAACAACTGTATACAAACAAGTCCATGTGATAAATGGGCATAAAAGGCAGAGCAAGCATTTTCGTCCCAAGCGGGATGACTTTTAATCAGTGTTGCTGACATTCATGAGCTGAGTAGTTTGCTGTGATGTCCCCTGCTTGAGAACCATCTGGGATTCCTTTAGTTTTAAGGGCTTCACGGTGTCTCTCTGTCCTCCCTTGTCTTTTAATGACACATTTGGTGTAGCCTTCTTAATCTGATCAACAAGGCATCTTGAAACCTCTTGAAGTGTGGAAAAAATGTAAAAATGAATATGAGATCAATGCTGATGGTCTCCTTAAGCATCCACAAAACATGAGTGAAAAAAACATGTTTAATTAAATAATCAAAGAAAATTGTTCAAAACTGATGTTTTTGCTGCTTGGACAATATTTCAAGATTAAATGGCGGTGACCAATCACATTTTGATTAACATCTTACATGCCCCGCCCACAAAATGATGTCATGATCAGAGTATTGTATCAGAACCGATCAGAACAAGGGGCAACCTCCGGTCTCGAAAAATGAAGCCTATGCGGAAGTACAAAAAACTGCAGTTCGTCGAGTGTCCGCTTGAGGCTGGCTGCAGAAGCGCCGGAAGTGCCATAAGCCCACAGCCAAAAAAGCCAGTTTTTACCACTGTGGAATCAACATGTTTACAGCCTGGTTCAAAAAACGAGATATATCTGAGAAGTTGACGGCCCCTTCTCCTCACACTGTGGGGGGGGGTGAATTTTTTTATAACTCATCGGATTTTATTCTATTAAGGAAAACGACTATGCCCATATTTGGTTGTGTCAGATTTGATTGACAGCTCTGCGCGGTCAGCAGGTCAGGAGGCTAACAGCTTGATCCGTCTGATTTCTCCTCTTTTTTTACTTCGTTTGGAGAGTTTGTTTAACACATATCTGACAACATACATGGCTTGCTGTGCGGTTAACAGACCATCCAACAAGTTGATGCTTCAGTTTTTTTCGGTAAGTGATATAGTAGTGTTATATTTACTGCTTACTCGTGGTATTTATATTTACGGACCTAGCTTGTTTAGCGTTAGCTTGTAAACCAGTCGGCTAACTGTGTAGCTCATTATTTACATTATTTACATTATTTACATTAATTTTAGTCAATGGTTTAGAAATGTTGTTAAGATGTTGTTGTTGAAAATAATGAGTTTGTGTGATGTTAGAAGCTAAAGGTTCACTCGGTGGTTAACCACAGACTGTAAATATGGTTATCTGACGTTATGATGAATGTTATACTCCACGTAAATGTGGACATTAAAAACAAACTTTGTGTAGTAATTATCCGTCAGTAACATAAACTGAACTGAACCTAATGTGCTGTGTAGGTTATAGAGGATGACATTAAAGTTACATGGTTGATGTAGTGTCTTAAGATTTGAGCAAACTGTTAACAAATTAAAAAACTTCACTTTGTAAGAGCATCTGTAACCATTAAGAACTATATTAATAACTATATTAATTTTCACTGAACTCATACACAGAATATAGCTGTAGAAATATAAAATCTAAATAACATATGGAATGAAAATAAGATTTAAAGTATAAGAAATAGTTTGAAGACTACAGCCATGTACTGA